GAGAGCAGACTAAATAATGGATTTTCAGAGGTGGTGAGAGACTCACCACAGGGAATGGCTGAGACTGTGTCACGTGCAATTGTGCCCCCTGAATGAAGAGAGCAAGACAGGCACCTGATGAGGCAGGTGGCGAAAGCCTTCCTTCTGATAACCTAGGAGTTTAACGGTTAATACCAATTCTATGAAATTAATGGAGAAAAAAATGAGCTCCTAAAGGGCAGGGATGATCACATTTCCACATGGTTATTATTCTACAGTCAAAAATAAGAAGAAAATATGGAGGATGTTATCTCTTTTATCTTTCTGCAAAAGCACAACATCAAGTAAAGAACAAATGAATATTTTTTTAAAACAATAAATTTTCAAATAAACAAAAAACCCTTTTCATATTGTGTATATTTTGTTTTTCTGCAATTATTACTCCAGTGATCAGTGAAAAAACAACAAACCAAGATTTATTTATTTTTTAAGATTACTTTGTTTGCTCAGGATATGCGTCTCTACAAAGATCTAAAACTTATTTTGATGTTCAGGGATGGAGTTGCTAGGACTTGCTTCTGAAATGTGAGTGGCTGATGCTTGATGGGTGTTATTAGTGATTGTGAGGAGGTTACAAAAGAATTTAGGAATCCTGTCATTGTCAATTAAAGAGTGACAGAGCGTCACTTTAAATTAGGAAGCAGGGGGTTTTGACTTGGAATGTAAAATAATTCTATAGCTCAGTCAGCACTCTGATAAGGAGTATAAATATACTTTAGAACAATTTAAAAGTCTCTGGAGGACCCTGTAGTCTGCTTTCACAACAGATTTTAAAGAAGATCAGAAGCAGAAGCTTTTTAGATTTGGTTGGAAAGGACACCTGCAATGTCCTTTGCTTTTCTAACTTACAGCTCAAGGGAAAGCCTGCTATAGCAGATCCCACCACTGCCACCAAAATGTAGCAGATTCCACTGTTGTATACTAATTATGTAAACAGATCCCACCACTGTATACCAATTGCGGCAGATCCCACCTACATACCCACTCTATAATATATATATTTCCAACCACCACAGGTTATCTTTTTGGATTTAGTGAGAGGTGGAAATTAGATACTTGGAGGACACAGGCAGAAGTTGAACAAATGTGAAATATTTATTTAACAGAACAAAGTGAATAAAACAAAGGATGTATCAGCAGATAATCTTCTTTCAGTAAACATTTAACCTGCTAATAATAATACTCAATCTAATGGAGGTTAGCATTATTTTGAGTTATTTCACTTCAGTTTCTTAACTTAGTAGTTGCATGGCTGTCACAGCTTAATACTTTGGTTCTTAAACAAGGTAGTACTTTCTGTCAGTCTTCCAACCTTTTATCAATCACACTCCTGAATAATTCTAGCAATATAACAGACGCAGGGGATCACCACACCCCTCTTAACTGGCTTGGGCTTCTTCTCTATCTAGAAGATCTCTCTCTTCCTGAGTGACCCAAGTAGTCTGCATCCTCCTCCTGGATACTTGCTCCTGGTTCAAACTCAGCCCTCTTGTTAACTCCTGTCTGAATACTTTCCCAAGACACTAAACACTGTCTTCCAACCTAAGCTTAGAGATTCCTTTCTCTAGCTGTAGATATTTCCCTTTGAGTGGATGTTACACACGCGGATCAGAACCAACTCTCTAACACTACCTGCAGCTTTCTCTGAAACCAACTCTCGATCTCGATCTCCCTCTCCCTCTCCATCTCATCTCTATCTCCCTCTCCCTCTCCCTCTCCCTCTCCATCTAACCACTCCCTCAGAAAATGGCTCCTTTTATTCTCCACCCCCTCTGGCTTGCTGTCATGGCAGCCAATCAGAGAGAGGCTCCAGCCCTCTGGTGGAATTCTGAGGTACTGCACCACCAGACTGGTCTGTCTCCTGTCCATCACACCTGCCTCTGCCCTGAGCCATCTGCAGATGCTAGAGAACCCAGAAGAACGGAAAGTATTTGTGGCAACTGCACTTAATATGTAGCTAGTATGCCAAGTCAGTAGCTGTAGATGTCATTTTTGATGGTGGCTAAAACATTGCTTCCCAGGAACAGCTCGTGTCTAAAATAGATAGGGAGGAGAATGCTCCTGGCCACAGTTGTCTCCTGAGAATCAAGCAGGCTGGCTAGTGATGATAGGAGTTGTTGTCCAACAGATCTGGAGGGTATCAGTTTGGCAAAGTGTGTCGGGATCTCCGAGAGGAAGCTGGGAGCTGCAGAATGCATGAACTCCTTGGTTGGCTTCAAAGTTGCAACTGAACTGCCCAAAGGGCCACTTGTCATTCCAGAGCTGCAGATTGGCCACCCTTGTAGTAGGAAAACATGAAGCGACTCTACCCACATTCTGCCACCTTCAGCAAACACAACATTTTGCTGGTTATCTTTAAATTACTTATGGAGCATCAAACATAAAGAATTGTACATTTCCCCCTGTTTCTGAAGTTCAGGTGAGAGTGCCAATCAGAATGTAGCCAAGGCAGCACTTTCCACAAAGAAGAGGGGAGTCTGTGCACCCAGGAGATCTGTGCAGTAAGCAGAAGGTTTTTAAAAAGAGAGAGAGAAATGGGGGAGGGGGAATTTCCCCACTCTCCCCCAGTAAAACTGTCCATGACTACACTGCATGCCCTCAGTTGTTGCCATACCAGAGCTTGCACAGGATATTTCAAAAAGCCACAGCACAGATGTCTGTCTGGGAAGTGGAACCCTGAGGAGCCAGAGTGGGGGACAATGATATTAGGAAACAGGGGGTGGGAAGCCAATGAGCATGCAGGAGAGGTGATGCAGCCGGAAGAAGCTACCAAGAGGTGGGAGAGAAGGAAGAGAAGACGAAGATGATGATGATGATGAAGAAGAAGAAGAAGAAGAAGAAG